TCTCAAACTCGGAAAGTTGAGTGAAATTAGCGGTTCTGCGAACTCTAGGCATGATAATGCAATGACACGATAATGAAACAAACGGAACCTACACAAAAAAATCACTGAAGATTAAGTACACATGTTCATATTGTTCGGATCCTGATATGACAAAAAAAGCCTTTACAAAAAAGTACGGCTCGGAGTGCCTTCAACATTTTATAAGCGTATACTTGCATGATAGCAAATATGTTGACATGTTTTTATCAGAATTAAATAAATAATTCTGGGTGTTGCATTTTATATGTCACTTAGTATATTTATATGTCGCAGCTGTCAGATTGTCACCGCTTTGTGAATGTCTATCTATCGTATAAAAGATCTCTGATCGTACCATCGAAGCGGTAGTCATACAATTTATTCTGGTCAGAACATATACACCACGTAATGACCAAAACTAAGAAGCTTCTATAGATTCTGGAGAGATCTTTCAAAGGATCCGACGTCAACACTAACGCCTTCATTTACAAGACATTTTTAAGGTCAATTCTTTGCTGGCCCTTCATGCGTAGACTACGTTTTCCTTTTGTTCGTGAGCTTATGAGTAGTATTGTACTATGCTCATTTCTATTTTGTAATAATAATATCAGCCGTTTAGGTCAGGTAAATCAATCTAGCTGAAATATTTTTACATTCCACTTGTATGTTCTAAGAGCACTATTTAATAGCGACAAATAAATTCAACTTTCAAGTTTTGTTGTGATAACAACACGTGGAACGATGTATTTTAAATCAAAATCGATAGAAGTAAAAGTGAATACATGACAGCTAGGCTGAGCATTCAGAATACACATCAAACCATTACTTTAGAATGTAGTGAAAGCTTTCACAACCATCAACCTTGCTGTTCTTCTTGGAATTCTTCTTCTCACGTACAGAAAATTAAATGTTTAATTTGTTTGCGTTTGTTTTACGATTTAGAAAATAATACGTGAGGTTTCTTTTAGGAACAACAGCAGATGACTCATTTTTATTAGTTATTATTAGATATTCAATCGATATTACCCACATCATGAAGTTGAATAGCAGACAGAAACCTAATGTGAAAACTGAGAAATTGAGTCCAACCATAAAGACTATCTAACATCATAAACAGGCATACCACAAAATATTCATCATGATTTAACGGATCCAAATTCTTCAGACTTTACACAGGGTAATTTTCTGCTACTTTTTTGTTGTTAACAACTACCTTTGCAACAATTTTAATTAAGCATCGACTGATATTGATATATATGTCGGCAGTATCAGCCTAATTTGGTTACCACTACGCCAAGAACGAAAGATATTTTTTTAGTTTCTGAAAATTGGTCCGGTGACGGCGGATAAAAAGGTCACAAACGAAAGAAGTAAAAATCTCTTAACCTTCATTTTTTGACTTTTCAGGGAGCCCTGATGATCTTTGGAAAACATTATTAGGGTTCAAAAATTGTAGGATGAGAGAGGGTTATTTCATTTTTTTATGTTAGTATATTTATACTCTCCTAACCTCGGTACTTCTACACACCTATTAGACATATTTCACGCATACTAGATTCCCTCTCAAAACTTACAATGGTAGATACTTTCGATACACGTCACTGCTTCAGCTGTCTGGTATCATCGGCGAGCGTGCCGGTCTTCGTAAGTGTTCTGGTCTTACTGCCGCGTCTGACTCGTTGTGTTGTCAGGTATCGGAGAGAGGCGAGGTTGCCTGATAGACTACCGCTAGGGCAGGGAAAGAATGTCCTGCCACAACGTTTCCGCTAGAACGCAGGCTCTCCCAGAGGTTTTGGACGCTTTAATAATGTTTTACAGAAAGCCTCAGCGTTTAAAAACCTAATGACTGAGCGCACTTCACAATCTTTGGGCTTCCTGAGTGACATGGAGACAAACAAAGCAGTATAACCACACAAACGCCTACAGAGACCTGAAAGGTAATGATGGTGTAGCTATAGACTGGCCAAAAGTGTCTGAGGTTGAACGGACTTCACCTGATACGGTACGCGGACCCAACATCGTCTACAGTTTTTCAGTATAGTGTAAATAATAATGTATTGAACCTTACATGATTCAATAAAGGAGTTGTTTACTGATTGTTATGCCAGTATCTTGAGATAATAGATCAATTACTTTTCCAATCAAGTATTCACACATTCAAATTCACCTCTGTCACAAACAACATGTCTCTTGTAGTTTTTCACTTTTTATTCAACTATTCCCGTCTATCTCTGTGTCAGATTACGTTACTGAAAATGTAAAATTCATGATTTGCTGAAGAAGGATGGTTCTTGAATAGAAATGGTTAAATTAGGAGAGGTAATCACATGATAAGTTACCCAACAGCTTAGGCTTTACGACGTTTTGTGGGAATTGCAAGATTCATTCACAAAAATTTTACAAATTTGCATTGCAATTTAAATCATCACTTTTTTATATCCAACGAATGGTTAATTTGGGACTTATTTGAACACAAAATGCATCAGACATTTTATTTCATACAAAATATTAGTTCTAGCAGCTTTGAATAAATATTCTCAGTATTGTGTTAAGAAAATGTTGTACCATGGAGAATAAATACAGTTTGGAATCTAATGTTTAGTCCAATGAGTTTAAATGACTAGTCTATTGTTTGTAAAAATTTTTGAAAATCTAAATGAAAAAATATTAATCAGTCCACCAGCGTAGGTTACATACTCGTAAGTTAATGTTAATGATTTACAACAGAATTATATGTATGAGGGTATATGTAAAGGCCCCTTGCCGAGAAATATACAAAATTTGACTAGGCAACTAAACGACAAAATCACTTTTTCGGGTATATTTAAATAGTTATATATTGTTGATGTAAACGGTGCAAAAAGATTGTAGGAAAGTATCTTGAAATGAGGCATTGCCAACTTGCTGTTAATTTGTTATTACAAATTTATATACACAAAGGAAGCTTAAAGCTTTTGAAGCTGGATTTCCAGTACGAATTTCCACCGCTAGGCCATCATATAGCGGTTACAGTCTCACCATATTTTTCTCCATAGAATATATTTCTATCAACTGTATCAGGCAGTATTGCCGGATAGGGCACCGTATTTAGCTGAGTATCTCGAAAATGGCTATATACACATTAATGAAACAAAGTAACGCAAAAAAACAAAAACACAACAAATCTTAATAATTGTAAAAATCACAAAAATAGTAATAACACAATAGATCCACAAGTCCACAAGTTTTCTCTTGATATAAGGATTATAGGGGCTTACACGCTTGGTTTATGAGCTACAGCTAACATTTTCGTAAATTGGGCATAAGATAAGTAAAAAATAATGGCTAATAATACCTTATACCTCTTATATGAAAGTTCGCAAACTTATCTTGGACTTAATATACTTACATATTTCATTTCAGACATGCAGAAGCGGATTAGAAAAATTTAACATACGAAACCAACTTGGTACAAAAAAAAGGGACAAGCATTTTTTTCAACTTCAAAAACCTCATTCGATTGTATATACTTAAGTTAGCCAACTGGAATTGTTCAGTGTTATTGCCATGAGTACATGTTACAAATTTACGAGGTGGCCCACATTCAATCAATGCAAGTGCTACATTTCATACGTAATCACAAATCACTTTCAATTTCATATCTGTACACCATCGCATCTCTCAAAGCGTCCCTCAAAAATACATTCACAGGTAAACAATGAACAGCACTTTCATTGAGATTCTTTCATTTCTCCGCCGTCAAATGTAAATATGTACATAGACAGCCGTGTCGTTAATAAAACGATCTTGAGACGTCGTTGGCGTATGTGCTTGTACCTCCAGGCTGCGCTGGACCCAGATTCACCTTGAGAGAAATCCACCATCAGCTTGTGCATACGAAAAGAGAAAACTGATGGACGAGCACAGAACTCTCCCTTGCTGTCTCGGACGGTTTTCTGATAAGATTCATTGTTTTCAAGGAATATCAAGAGGTATACCGTGACTGCTATGAATTAATCCAACGAGACCTTGTTAATTTGTCCAAATTTATAGACACTTTAGGATTGAGATTCGGTTAAGGGATTGGCCAACCCTTGGATTTTAGGCGAAAAGTAACGCATCCTTGACTGACACTCAGGAGAGGTTGTAGGTTGTCATCGCAGGTTATCAGTATTTTCAAAATGTCCAACATTCTGAGTTTCTGGCATTACTGAAGTTTTTGCTATTCCAGATATTTTCCGAAACGTTCACGCCAGGAAATATAAAAATTTCCACAATATTGAAAGTATTAAATATTGAGAGCACTTCAGAAACGATACCTAGTGTAATCTTGGAAATTTTGAAAATTTTCAAACCTTCGAAAATTCTAATAATTTCGAATATTACAAAAATACTAATTTAGTAGTAATAATTTTCCAGGCACAATTCTCAATAGCTTAGCAAAGCTAACGATTAACACCTTTAAGCAGTTTTATTCGTGTTCTTCTCTTAGAAGGGCCAGTCCGAATATGGAACAAAAAATGGGGAAATCTAATTAAAAGTTGCAGATTTGATGTGCAACTCAATATTGGAGTACCCTGTACAATTGTTAGCGGTTTAAAAATGCTTCCCCTTGTACCGTGTATAACAATCAGTGAACAGATTCTTTACAAAAAAATTAGATTATTTATCAGTGCAGTACCGTCCATGCACGGTTGGGCTACCCTATATAAATACCATAATGAATTTACGATTTTTGGAATTAAATACATTTCAGGATTCTCACAGATTACGATAAAAACTGGAAGGTTATTAGAATCATATATTTGGGAACAGGCAACTTTACAAAGCAACAAGAACAACAAAAAAAGCCATCCGGATCTTGATAATGCTTATAACCTTATAATTATATAATAGGATATTCAAACAATAAACAAAACATTATTGTATCCCACGCGAAAAGCTTTTCAACTCAACAGTTTAAACAATGTTCATGATCTTTTAATTTTTTTATCTTGATCTAGGTTATCATTCATTCAGTTCTGTCCGCAGGCAAACGATCTTCAGTTTGAGTACATGTTCATGCTCATACCTTCACCTAAAGCTAATTATGTAGCAAAACTACTACGCCATCGTGTCAAAATGAAGATCCTTGTATTTTTTGCACCACCGCCAATTTATGGTTAAGGTAGCAAGAAACGTAGATGTACATCTTAGAATTAGCTCTCATAACTACTGCACTAGATAATAAATCTAAATCCAAGTTCATTTAGATGTCTGCCTACAATCTCACCATACTTTCTCAATACGCAAATAAAACAAATATAAAGACTTGCCACTCGTTCATCAATTAACATACGTTTTTGTCTCCATGATTGCAATATGTTCGAGACTTTTGTAATAAATGACAGCTGATTACACGTTATTTAAATTTGTACCTAATTCACTTTCATACAGATCATCGTAGAAAGTTTTGGAGCACTTTTACTTTTTGGCTGTTGCACATATGGTAATCGTGTGTGCCATGTGTCGCAAAATCTAAATAATGTCTTCAGGGGATACTTAATAATATGCACTATGTACATACGTACAATGACAATTCAAAGAATAAGTGTTTATTGTTCAAGATTTGATGATAATATTCAGCGGCGCTCTGATTTAGATATAATACTAATTTGTCTATGTATGTTTCTGCCTCGTAAGATAATGTATTATCTTTTCAACAAATAAAGCTACAGCCTGGCTATACCACTTGCTGGGTTTGGGAATCTTACACGAATACGATAGTCTTCCAGCTACTGAGCGAGCAAGGCGTATGAGTAGATAAGTACGAGGGATGTATTTTAAGTTTTGCATATAGAAACATACTAGGCCGCGCGGATCGAACGTCAGTACTGAATCTTAACCTCAGTTGTTAGTAGACTTAAATTCAAAGTTTCACAACAATACGTGCAGTGTTCTCACTACAGTGAATTTTTAAGTGTCACCAAGTCATTAGAAAAATGAAACTGAACCGAGAACATTTTCGCGCCATAATTTATTACAACTTTCAGAGACCATTATCGCAACAAGAATGCCTTGCTGAGTTACAGTCTGTTTTCGGCAACGAAGCGCCACATTAGTTGACAATTTCCCGTTGGTATGGAAAATTCAAACGTTGACGGGTCAGTCTTAGCAACGATTCCAGGATGGGTGCACCAAAAACGGCAGTCACCCAGGAACACGTCGATGCTGTGCGCAAACTCATCATTGAAGATACACATGTGACATGTCTTGAGTTTGAGGCGTCCTTGAAGATCTCAAAGACCTCAATTCAAAAAAATGTACGTGAAGAATTAGGAGTAAGAAAATTAGTTTCTCGTTGGATACCCCACCTGTTGACTGAAGAGCAGAAAGTAGCCAGGGTTAATTGGTGTCAAAAACGCTTGACAGTTTCAATTTCAGAAACTCAAAAAATGTGTTCACCATTGTTAGTGGTGATGAATCGTGGATTTACTGTTATAAACCAGAAAATGAACGACAGTCGGCTGTTTGGGAGTTCCAAGGTGAAGCAAAGCCAACAAAAGTCATCCGTTCTCGAAGTGTTTTGAAAAAGATGATCGCGACATTTGCGTCAAAAGCGAGTCATATTGCAACAATTCCTCCTAATGAGCAAAGAACTGTTACTGAGGGTTGGTATACCACCATTTGTTTGCCAAAAGTCATCACCGAGCTTCAAAAAATCAACCCCGAAATAAGAATCATCCTCCACCAAGACAATGCAAGCTCGCACACAGCCCAAAAAACAAGGCAGTATTTAATGGAAGAAAACGTGGAATTATTGGACCATCCTCCATATAGTCCCGATCTAAGTCCTAACGATTTCTTTACTTTCCCGAAAATTAAAAACAGACTGCGTGGCCGAAGGTTCCAGTCACCAGAAGAAGCAGTTGACGCATTCAAAAATTCCGTTTTGGATCTGCCAGCAAACGAGTGGAATAAGTTCTTCGAAAATTGGTTCGAGCGCATGCACATGTGTATTAATCTTCGTGGAGAATACTTCGAAGAACAATAAAGTCATATAAAACTACCTACCGTGTTGTTTTATTTCCATATGCAAAACTTAAAGGACATCCCTCGTATAGGCAAAGCTAGGCATACGTTTTTTCAATATATCGCGAGTAAGCTGAAAATTGCATTACGAGACTAGCCATCAAAGATTAGTCCGTCCGTTCATGTGCTGCTCGAACAAAGTAAGGTTTCCTTTTTAACGGCTCGTTGAAGTCTCGACTACAAACGGCTGTCGTTGGGTAGGTGAGTAGTATTTTTATACCGTGCTACCTTTAAGTGTTAACATGGGGTCTATATTCACCAACATGGAGTACTTGTTTGTATAATATTGTTGAAAGTCAAAGTACGTTAGTCAGTCAGTAAATAAGAAACTGATTTGAGCATTGAACCCCTGATTTCTTCAGGAATCTCTAAACTGACACCACATGTTTTGCGACCTACTCTTCTGAGATGACTATCAATTATTTACAGTCTGTTTAAATGGTAGCCAAAGAAGTAGCGTAGCTAGTGGAAGCAGCAGGTATAGTCACACAGCTAAGAACTACCGTATTACAGTATGTTACAACGAGTATTACATAGCTGGAGCGTCAGAGTGAGTAAGTAGCAGTACTTGCTCTTATCAGTCTTAATCAACTGATTTGTATGGCAAATCAGAGGATGTTGCACGTAGAATATCTTTATTAAGTCAGATTTTCCATTTATATTGCCTATAATGATCGGCTGCGTAATACTCTCGGTTGCTACTAGCATGTTTACCGAGACATTTTAAGTATCATTTTATATCCATTAGAACTAATTCAATATACAGGGTGACTTCGAAGTTGAGTCATTTATTTTAACAGTGAGTAGATCTGATCAAAAGAAATGTTTTTTTCCTTTACCATTTTTCTGGTAAAATTAAAGTAACAAAGTTATAGCCCTTTGGAAGTTTGAGTACCGTCCTGTCTCAATAATAATATCATGTACTCGTGTTTGGCAACAACGGATATAATCCGCCTTACCGGTTCATCGCATCGGAAACAAAAAAGCGAAAGAATTTGGAACGATGTTTTTGCAAGTAAGTATTTTATTCAGTTCAGTTATACATACAGTCAGTGTCTGTCGGTTAGTGTGTGAATAGTGTCTGTTGCGTGGCTCAAACGAAATAAAAAATGGCACATGTTTATGCGGATCGGTTTCCCAATCGAGTGCAACCAACCCCTCGCGCCTTTGTTAATGTAGTACAACGGGCTCGTGAATCAGGTGACTTAAGACCTCACAGAGGACCTCACGATCAAATACAGGTCCGCACTGAAATACTTGTCGGGAGGATACTTTATAAAACAAGGTAAATTTTTTTTTTATTTTTTTTTATTTTTACACACATATTCTGGTTTATCTTCCTTCTACAATCATTATCTGAAAATTAATGACTCAACTTCAAAGTCACCCTGTATATTTAATATAACCTGTCAACAAAGGCTTAAAAGGTTTCTATCTTAACTGCTCGCCGAAATCTCCATTCGGAATATAGGTAGCTATCTTCTGAGAAACAATTTCCATTCCCTTCTCATCATATGTGTTGCATGTTATTACATTGGAGCTCAATAAGCTAAATTAAAATACTATGATTACTCAGCACTACTAGATATCTGAAGGTCCACGATTGACGAAATTTTTTGGAGATAGAAGTATTTGAAAAAGTTTTTCGAATATTTATGTACTCAAAATTTATAGTAGCAACATAGAAGTGGCGCTGCCATAAAAAAAATCAATACAATACCAACTGCTGGGTGTGGAAATCTTGCACGAATACGATAGTCTTCCAGCTACTGTTCGAGCAAGGCGTATCAGTAGATCAGTACAGGGTCTCCCGAAAAAAGTGTGCAATATCCTACCAGCGGTTTCTAGAGCTTAAAATAGGAAGAAAAGTTTATATAAACATAGGTCGACAAACGTCCCCTAAGGGCGCTACGGTCTTTTAAAGGGGCTCCTCTGAAGATGGTTTTTCCCTAATATTTCCGAAACGTGTGAGATAAAGACATAAAATTTGGTATTCTAGAATAGTTTTTTATGCTGGATTTAAAAATATTAACAATGTTAGACAGTTTTGTTTGGAAGCGTATGTAACAGGGACGGACTCAGGTTATTTTAGCTCCAAATTTTTGTGTGATTCTATTTTTGAAATTCAATTTTAGAATTTGAAAATCTAGGGTTTTCTACATAAAAAAGGTACTCTTATTGAATATCGATAAAGTGTGCCATTTTTTAATAAAATCAAACTAAAAAATTTGTCACGTGATAGGAAATGTACTGCGAATTTAAATGAATTGTTGAATAATTAGCCATGGCAAGAAGAAACTAATTTCATAATTGGTAAATATTACATAAATACATATTTCTATTGCAACATAGCTATCATTTAGGCAAAAACAAAAGAAATAATTGTTTTCTACGAACGAAATTGAAATTTGTTTAAAAAAGAAGACATACAGTTGGATATACTTAAAACTAGCTTTACAATAAGTGTCCAAATAAATTCTCATTTTATTGGATACAGAGTCTCGCTTGACGAACTAATGATTGCGTAGCCCGAAAAGTGGAAAACCTATTTCTTCTTATTTCATTTGCAGCCGGATGGATTCTTTGAAGTAAATCTTCTTGAGTATTTTCTTCAGTCGAGTAAACTAGGTCTTTTAATGACCCCCAAAAATAGAAATCCAATGGATTTAGATCAGGTGAACTTGGCGGCCACGCAAAAGGACGTCCTCGGCCTGACCACCTGAAAAATTGACATTCAGCCAATTTCGAACATTGCGTCCAAAATGTGCAGGGGCGCCATCATGTTGAAAAAACATATTTTCTTGAAACTGCTGGCGCACATCCAATGTTATTATATCCATGAGCTCATTCTGAAGAAAGTTCAGATACACCTCTCAATTAAGACGATTGGGAAGTACAATAGGCTCAATTACTTGATCCCCAATTATTACTCCTGCCCATAAGTTCAATGAAAATCTATGTTGGAAATGTGTACCGCGAACAACTTTCGGATTTTCATCTGACCAGTGATGCATGTTATGGAAATTAAAAGCACCATTTCTTGTAAATATTTACTCATCCGACCATAATATTCTAGGAATAGTGTTTTCATTTGCTAATATCCACTGGCAAAACTCGATTCGTGGTAAAAAATCTGCCTCCGTTACATGCTGCACCCGTTTAAAATGATAAGGATGTAATCCTTGCATTCTTGTCATTCTTCCTATCTAAAATTATTATTTTTAGGATAACTATCAAATAGGTACTCATAAATTTTTCTTACTATTGATCGAGGTATATCCATAATTTCTGAAACATTTCGTATGCTTATTTGCGGATTATTGTCAAATATATTTAAAGCAATATCCATACGATGATTTCCCGGTGGCCTTCCTGAGCCCTGCATGAGCTGAAAACTTCCATGGTTTGACAAATTCCGGTGAATATCAGTAAACATTCGACGTCCAGGTACTATGCGATTGGAAAATCTTCTCTGATATTCTCTTACGGCTGCCAATGGACTGCCATTGCCAAACCCGCACACAAAATGCATGTCAGTCAGTTCTCTGTCTGTAAATCTTGGCATTTTAATCTAGTAATTTTACACTGCTAAAAATATCAGCTTAACGTCAAAATAAGTCATAACAAATCAAAATTCATTTAAATTCGCAGTACATTTCTTATCATGTGACAAATTTTTTAGTTTGATTTTATTCAAAAATGGCAAAATTCATCGATATTCAATAGGAGCACCTTTTTTATGTAGAAAACAATAAATAGAATCACACAAAAATTTTGGAGCTAAAATAACCGTCCATGTTGCATACGCTTCCAAATAAAACTGTCTAAAATTGTTAATATTTTAAAATCCAGCATAAAAAACTAGGCTAGAATACCAAATTTTATGTCTTTATCTCAACACGTTTCGGAAATATTAAGGAAAAACCATCTTCAGGGGAGCCCCTTTAAAAGCGCCCTTAGGGGACGTTTGTCGACCTATGTTTATATAAACTTTTCTTCCTATTTTAAGCTCTAGAAACCGCTGGTAGAATATTGCACAGTTTTTTCGGGACACCCTGTATAGTTAAAGCTAGGCACAAAAACCTTCAGCAAAACGGCAGTATTTTTAATATATCGCGAGTAAGCTGAAAATTACATCATGACCATCAAATATTAGTACGTCCATGCTCGAACAAAGTAAGGTTTCCTTCTTAACTGCGCGTTGAAGTCTCCACTACAAACGACTGTTGTTGGGTAGATGAGTAAAAGTTTAATACCGTGCTGCCGTTAAGTGTTAACATGAGGTCTATATTCACCAACATGAAGTACTTGTTTGTATAATATTGTTAAAAGTACGTTAGTCAGTCAGTAAATAAGAAACTGAGTTCGCTCATGCATTGGACTACTGATTTCTTCAGAAATCTCTGAATTGAAAGATATGCTTCCTAAAAAATACGATAGCAAATGTCACAACTAAAAAATATTCAAATTTTGCGACCTACTCTCCTGAGATGACTATCAATTTACAGTCTATTTAAATGGTAGCCAAAGAAATAGCTTAGTACGTGGAAGCAGCAGGTATAGTCACATATCTTTAGAAAACGTTCAATTTGCCTGAGGAACTTTGTATAAAGCGCAATGAAGGTTGTTTAAAAAATCCATCGAATCAGGAGACGTTTTAGTTGAAGTTAACTATGTTACCTCGGTATAAACATAGTTTACAAACGATAAGAACCTTAATTTTTGCCACATATTGGTATAAGTACACGCTAGTGTAGTGCTAGAAAAAGCATATCCACCAGAAGAACTACCATATTACAGTATGTTACAACGAGTGTTACATAGCTGGAGCGTCAGAGAGAGTAAGTAGCAGGACGTGCTCTTATCAGTCTTAATCAACTGATTTGTGTGACACATCGGAGGATGTTGCACGTCGAATCTCTCCATTAAGTCAGTATTGCCATTTATATTTCCTATGATGATCGGCTGTGTATTACTCTTGGTTGTTACTAGTATGTTAGCTGTGACATTTCAAGGATCATTTTATATCCATTACAACTAATTCAAACATCTTTAATATAAACTATCAACAAAGAATTGAAAGGTTTCTATATTAACTGCTCGTCGAAGTCTCCATTCGGAATATATGTGATGCCGTTTTGTATAGACAAAAAGATTCAAATAGTATCACTTTAACCTTTGGAGATGTCAAATTCGGCAGCAGCTTCCCCTATACGACATAATTATGTCACAAAGGTGAGTCAATTCATACCAACTACATTTTTTGACTTTCTCACTATAGGCATGTATCTTCACTCTCGGCTTATTGTAATTACTATAGTGTCAACAGTACCTTGATCACAGGAAAAGTTCCTACATGAAAAAACTCTAGATCATCGGCGCTCTATTTAACTGTCTATAGATACCATTGATCATTATAAATACCTAGTATATTTAAATATAGAATGGCATTTGGAAAGAGGTGTATATCCCATGAAACGTTGATTGGCTACTGTTCTAAAAACGATGTTGGACTGTGTTTGGAAGTGATCCTAGCAGAAATCCTGGCAG